TCTTACAGCGTGAGGCGACGCCGCTGACTTTTCAAAAGGTTCTCAGAAGCCTAAAAGAAACATCATCGAATGTGAATATTTATCAAATATCGAATCTATGATGGACGCTTCTGGGCGGAACTGCCAACCGTTGCCAACATGGCTACCATTGCCTATGGACAATGGAGGTCGCTACCTCGGCTGTTATGCTGGTCCTCTTGCTGCCACTGTTGTTGTTGTTGTCGTCGTTGTCATTGTTGTTGCTGTTGGCGTAGACGAACCTACTACAAAGGAGATAAAGTAAACTTTCGCTATTTTGCCAACATGGCAACTTTTATCATTCAGAGTCCATTTAAAGTCCATATGTTGTATGCTGCCTGCGCCATCAAAGCTTCGGTATATTTTCGGTGGCCGCTAAATGAACGTGTAAAAATGTTTCAGCATTGTTTTTGATACCTGTTTTTGTCAAACAAAGTAAATACTAAGTACATTAAAGAGAAGGCGAACTAGGGGATAGCAGGCGCCTTAACACGCACGCACTACATATTTGCCAACATTTGCTTGGCCTTGAAAAATGACAAGTCTTGTTCAGTTCTTTAAGCAAAAGAATACGATGAGTTGTCGAGGCAAAAGAGCAAAAAGCTCAAGGAGCTGATTTCCGTTAAGTTTGCATTCAACTTCCATTAAGATCTCCAAGAATATTAGACCTTGCAACAGCTAGAATTCTAATTTTGTTGAGTTCACAAATATAAGGACAAACGAAATTGTATTCCTTCAGACAAGAAGTTGGGTATTTTATAATGATGTCAAACTCTCGTTTTATCTGTTCAAGAGTCTCGTTATCAGGATCATTTAAAGAAGCCAGGCTGTAGTTTCCGTCTGCTGTTCTTGTGGCTAAGCAGCTAATCATAACGCTACATCCTCTGATCGTTAAAGCAATGCAAAAGGTATGCCGCATCGCCGGTTACTAGCGATTGCATCATGCTAACTTCGTCATGGCCATTTAAATAATGTTGGAAGTCTTATGGCTGTCACGTGAGTGATGGGCTGCGTGTGTTATTTCGAGTGTCTTTGCCATCTCATTGATATTGTGTTCTCTGCTTTGGCATTAAAATAGAACGTGCGAGGCTCACCGCACAGGTCATCATCAGAAAAATTGAAGTTTCGAGCAACTTGCATAACTCAACGACTTGATGAATAACCTAATTGAAAAAGCTACTTATGTAATATTTTCAATAAATTAACGGTGATTTCGTTGGAGCAAAAAAGAGCATAGGCGGAAGTAAGCGTTCAAAAATGTTTCGAAGAGGAGTAAGCGATTATACGCGGGAACAATCGCCCTTTCCAAGTGCGAACACTGACGATATTGGACTGCTTCCCACTCCAGCTCTTGTCAAAGACTAGGATGATCAACTCGGTGACTGACCGACACAGCAAAAAAGTACTGAGCTATTCTGTCGAAGCAACTGCTCGACTTGATTTGCCGGCAATGCCGAATGTCAATTTCTAAGCGGACGTCTGAGTCACCCAGGTACCCAATGGGTCGGGCAGTCGAAGCGGATGATGCCACGACCACCACTATCAACATCACCATCAGGTAATAATGGTTCTATAGCGGTTGAGTCACAAGTAACAGTTCTAATGTATTTCGCATAGCCGATTGGTGATATCTTGAACATAGCGAGAACTGACTAGCTCAGACGCTGCGATCATCCAGTAGTAGAAATAGTCACATAAAATTTATTATTGTCTATTTGAAAGATAGAAATTTCTTGCTCTATTGCAGCCACCCAGAGCTATCAACGTTTATACAACATGGTACGTCACGTCAACAGCAATGTATTCTTTGAATAGTCTAGACGTTATACACAGTCAAATTATGAATGTAACGAATGGATTTAGATTTAGAAAGGTAATTAGATATATGTTTCGCGAATCCCTGCCGTTGTACAATTAACTGCATGCAACTCAGTCCTTACCCAAGAACAGAAAGTACGTCCCTTGGGCATTGAGCGCTTTTTGCTTAATCCCATCAGCCCTTCGTATCTGTTAAACATTAAAAGATGTCTGTTTACTGGTCGCATTTATAAGTTACAGGGTGGCCTTATCTACACTAAATTAAAGGCAATCAAAGGTACGAACTACTTATTCGTACTGAAATTAGTTGAAGCCTGTTACCACCAAAATGCTTTCCTTCATTCGAGACTTATACCACCAGTGAACAATGATAATAATAATAGTATGTTCCTGGTTCTATGCAAAGCAGATGTCAGCGACTCTACTATGTCAGCATTACTCGTTGCCTCTAGTGACAAGTTTCATCACTTGTTCGAAACCTGTACTATACGAATTAAGCGACACACTGATTAAGTTGTCGCGAGTCAAATGTTGCTGCTTTGTTTTTTTGAGGCATGATATCTCCTACCTGCAGCTTGATTAACGGTTACCGTGTCTACCATCTTATCTGGGGTGCCTTTTGCACCACAAAATTTCCCCTTAGCCAACAGGCTTAACACTCGACGACATCGATAGTCTGATCTCTACGACCTTCTTACCTGACTGCCGCCTGCTTTTCTATCTGACTCATCGTGGTGTGCACGTTTCGCATCAATACACAGGCAGGCAGACGACAAGGTCACAGGAACACATGCGGTTATAGTCACCCAGTGATACAATCGCACCCTTGATGGTCCTGGCGTCGTCCTAAGTGGCAACAGGAACGAAGCAACAGGAAATGGGTAACCGCAACAGCATTATCGCATCTATCTAATCATCATCCCAAACAACACCCCAATCACCTCCTTCCTAACCCGATCAATTGGGTCAAAAAAGAGAACCGACAGAAGCTGTGGGAACGCGCAGCCGATTCAGGACTGGCATCCCGCTCCGACCTAGCTAAGGCCATCGGTCATGAGGCGATGAGTAACACCAACGGTCTAGTTACGACGGTGGCAGAGAACAGGCACATGATGTCTTAGTGTCTGTTTCCTCAGCTAAACGTGCAGCTTTACTTTCGCAGTCGCGAACATGTACGTGGATACGTATACAGAGACATATCTATGCTGATAGTCTTGCAGCAAAACAGCCCGAGCCGAAGTTGTGAATCGTAATGGGAATGAAAGCAACGACAAACACCATAAAACAGATGGGAACCCATAGTAACCCATAGTAAACCCACTTACATATCTTACTCACATCTGCATAGGTTTAATAGAAATACGCAACAAGCAGTGTTGAAGGCAAAAACGTTTGTTAGCTGGTTGAGAGGAAAGTACAATACATAACGCCTTCTCGTATTTACTAATTCTTTTAAGCTAAATGAGGTACGACGTACGAGGTGCAACAGTGTCGAGTAAACAATGAAATGTCTATGATGTTTGTGTAGATCACTCTTCTTTTTCCGTGGGCGTAGTCTCTGTGGTACACTGAAATGTGATTAGTAATATTCCCAATGTGATTAATATATAGACCCGGAAAATTAATTTTTAGCAAATCCTCCCACATATTACTTTCAACGAAATGCCAACTCATTAGGTATTATCATTATTACGTGCAAATTTGCCATAACAATTTACCAATAAGATAAGCAAAGGTCATTGAATGAAACATTACGTATACCCAGAACAATAATGCATTTTAGGTAAGTACTGCTATTCCACATGTTTGTTATTTTGTCTCTACTGAAATCTTAGAAATAAACGGGTTAACGAAGTCCTTTAGCGTGTCAATGAACCAAACACTGGTAAACATTGATATTATCACGGCGATGCCTATTTATCTGCTGCAGGTACCACTGTTGACCGCAGTTACTATAATTATCAGTATATATGAGTCTGCGTCCGTTACGAGGCAAAAACGTTTCGTTAAACGAACTAGAAGCTTTTGTAATTAATGCATGCAGTCGCAAGTATATTAGAGGTACTCTACGCCATATATTTATACCAGCATATCGGTAGAAGGGAGCAACCAAACACAGAAGAGCTAGTACGTGAACAATGAAACACAGAACACCAAACCAAAAAACGTTACTCAGGGAGCGACGGATGCTGTGACTATTTTTCTAGTCTTTTCTTTTTTTCTAAAGAGATCACCTGCCACTATCCAGGTAAATAGCTAAAACCTACGTCGTATGACGAAAAAATAAAGCAAAGCGAATTGATTGAAAAATAATTAAATGAAGACAAAGTACTGTATAAAAATTTAAAAAAAAGATAAGAAGACCTAAGAAAAACAACAGTTCTGGCAGAAAAAAAAGCTTGACACCTTTTTTATGTGCGCCGCATGACCTACTATAAAATAATAGAGGGCGTATTGTCGATAGAAACCATCACCAGCTCACTTTCAGCTAGTGCAACTGCTAAGTAGCAACTACCAAAATCGACACTACTAATGATAAAGTTCACCATCAAGACACAAGCAGACAACGAAGGAGGAAGACTGTTTAGATTGCGGAAGAAAATTGGCAACATGATACACGTTCGACTTAAAAGCGACCGTTACGAAAAGACAAAGGATTAGTCAGAAGGAAATATCGGAGTAAGATGACGATAGCGTTGTACGTGGGAGCAACAACAATTCCGTTACCAGTGCACACACACACACACAGACAAATCCGATCTTCACGGGCTGATAGGAAAAACATCGGAATCAGAAGACAGGTAGTACTAATTAAAGTAATATTGGTAGAACGAACATTGCTTTGATAGTTAGAAACAAGTCGAAAATTGTAGGACGAATCGAACAGAAGAGCAGTTTGCCATAGTTGTAAATGCTGTCATTAAGTAAGTAAAGGGGGAAACGCTCAAGGACAAGTTCAATACAGGAGGAAGTCGGGAATTGAAGCAGGTAAAAATTTCATTAGCAGCATTTCATGGCTCGACAGCTGTTTTTGTTATTACTGTGAAACTGCGCAGAAAATTCAAGTTACCACTATTTCTATATCATCTTAGACACGACATGATCAGGTTGTAGTTGAGCTGTCGCCGTTGCTGTGGTACTACGACAAGACAATGATGACTCACTCTCTTTGGTCGGTAGCGGATTCTTCAGCTGCGTATTAGCATGCTTCAGCTGAGACTGGTTGAAACTCTCCACGCCCTGAAGCAAACCCTGGTGAGTTTTTTCCCCTTCGATGTCTGTTCGCCAGCGAAAGATCAGCGACCAACAAAGTCAGAGAAGATACGCCGCACATGACAGGATACAATAGACGGTGTTAAAAAATCCGATGATTGAGTGTGAGCGGATGGATGAATAGAAACGAGAGTCGATAGGTCACCATCGATCATGAATTCAATCGAGCGCAATCGTCAGGGGCGTCGCGATGTAGAGTAGATAGGAAGGATATATTATAATTTGATAATTCAACAGGCAACCGTTCGGTAACAGGATTCGATGGGTAGAACAATGTGCAGAAGTTCAACCGGGAGGAACAGAAGACAGATGAAAACAAATTGTTTACTAAATGAATTTACTTGATCCAAACGAATAAACGCTATGTAATTATGATTATAATAATAATATTACTTGGAAGTTATGAGCAAAACCATACTACTGACTAATAAGTATCATTGGGTGCTATATATCTCGCTTGCTAGCGATAAATCAGTAAAATATTACCGTTAGTTGTCAAATGAATTTATAAACGCCGACATTTTCAAAAACCTATCAATAAAAGATAATAGAAAACTGCGTATACCGGCTGGGTTTTTGAGACTCGTATACGTGATAAGGTCAAGGACCTGTCAAGATAAACAAAGACAACTTTCAGGCTAAATTTGTTAACAAGAGTGCATAATCGAGGTCAACATGCTTTGCTTGAATCAGCGAATTATAAAAGTATCATTTTTTAATTATTTGCCTTTTAATAAAAAGAAAAGAGAAACGGAAAAGTATTCACACTTACAGAGGTGCGAACAGGATAATATGCAGACTATATCTTGAACGCCCTCTAATGCCAAAAATTTAGCGTATTTACAGTTACAAAAAGGCACAAATGTCTAAATTAGCTAGATTTATTAAAACCTGGTGGATACTTACCTTCTTTGGAGGGAAGAACGACCTTCTCCTGAGTCTGCGTCGCTTTCAGCTTTTCCTGCGAGAAATTTACCAGCTCGTCGGCAATAGCGGCAGCAGGCTTTGGGAGACTATCTTCGGAAGACATGCTTACGGTTTTCGGCTTGATCTAAAAAAAGCAAGCAAAGCGCATACATAATTGCTTAATATTAATGCACAGTCGATAAATGCGTTGAAACAACAAAACAACACCGATGAGCCTATTGCGGAGTCGAGTGAGTGTTTTTAACGTAAGATCGTATTGATTTCTCACAGGTGCCCTGCGCTATATTAAACTGTATTAATTACAATTATATGCTATTCTTCTGATATCCAGAACCAAGCAGCGTAATCTACAACAATAAACACCCATTACTAACAAAGAATATACTTAACCATGTTACACAGCATACCCTAGTTGCTGATTGTTGAAAATTAATATAAATGTACCAATGTAGCGAGCAGCATCGAATAATAATGACAACATGGCCATAACTCAAATAAAATGCAGGAAACGTTACTATCTTTTCTGCCTATCCTAAGCTTTCGATCGATAATGCTCAGAAGGCTTTTTTTTTGTTTGGAAATTGCCAATAAATATCCTGCCTGAGTATTTTGTGGTGCTTGTTGGCTTAGAGATTTTGGGGGTACATTATATCAATCGATGACATTACAACAACTCAGTTAGGCTATCTGTGCTAAGACCGCTGTTCTTTCTCGTTCCATCTTCAGATGTTTTTTGCATGCTAGCGGGGAAACTAATATTAGCAACCTTAGCTCTAACGTACCTATGATTAGCCAGATAGCTCTCTGTTCTTCGCTGTATGGAAAGTAGTTAATCGACGTATTTGATCTAGTCTAATTTGACTGGATATATTAAGCATCGATAGGAGCTTTATAGGGCAATAGATGGAATGAATAGATTAAATCGATTTTTATACTTTGCTGTCGCAGGCGTTTACGGGTAACCTTTTTACTATCGTTGCACCTTTGTTCCTTCGTATACATTTCTACATATCCCCTGTGCTATACTGAATTCTATATGAATTAATAGAAGAAACATAGGAGAATGAACAATTTTTAGTGTATTTTACCTGTGTATTTCCTATCTTTTACTTCTTGAATATTTTGGATGTTTGAATATTCGCTTAAAATCTCAAACGTTTGAGAACCCCCTTTATCTTCGGTAAAGGCTCGAAAGTGGTAACCTTTACTGATGTAAGCCTGACCTATAAAAAATTTACTTGGCCGATCTTGGATAGCTTTGCCATTCTCTTCGGAATATTTAACAGATCTTTCTACGAGGCAGCCTCAGGTAACGCGAAATTAATTATGAAATGAGAACTTCAAAAAACATAATTATCAACTATTATTTTTTTTAGGTATACGTGTCAAGAGAAGTTTAGACCAATGCTTAAAAGAACGTTTAAGTTTTTACACGATGCGTTTCAAGCGGACTTCAAGATGATCTACTGGATTATTTAAAAAAAAAAGTCAAATAACTTTATCCTAATATGATAGTTCCAGAGAAGCTTTTGTTGTTGATTTTTAAGCAGCAATTAAAAATGTCTAATAATTTGTGCGACTTCTCGTTGGCTTAGTCTGCACATTAGTTTCAGAACTTTCTCGACACCTCAAACGTGCAGAAAACTAGTTTATGGCTAAAAAAAAACTATTTAACGTTGGTTATTTTGTGTAAATTGTAAACAAACCTTCGCTTCGGCTACTGCATGGCCGTGTGTTCGTCTATTTGCTGATGGAATTGCGCCATAATCTACCTCTCTCGCTCAGCCGCGTTCATTAATCGAACATTACGCTCCCACCTGCAACAGCTCCCCACCGCCTAACTTCAGTAGGTAAAATTAACATTGCACGCAATTTAGTAGTGCTTCTCCCTCAGCTATTTTTTCTACTATTACTATTGCCAGTACGGCTAGCCGACCGAAAACTCCGCTGTGCACCAGTTTCACAATGTATTTTTAACAAATAAGATCAGAAACTGCCACACACGCTCTCCCCAGACGGACAGACCCAAAAAAAAGCCGACCGACCGACCGACCGCCAGTAGTATCAGTGCGCTACAACCTACAACCAACGAGCCAGCTCCAGTTTACTCGGCATTTTTTTCAAAATGGTTCTTCAATATTTCTCTCTGCGCACCTGTTTTCTGCTCATTTTCCGCTTCGCCTTATTCGTCGTGGTTCAGAGATCCGAGATAAATTGCAACGCAAAAACAATGCACGCTAGCTATTCTCTCGTTTTCGTTTTTCTCGGTCGCTATCAGTCGGCCTCTATTCACGTGTGTGTTAAAAGTTTTGGTTGTTTTTAGCTACAGGCTTTCCCACTCCCCATTTATTTGGCTCCGTCGTGGTCCTCATTAGCTAGCTGAAGTATCTACTTGCGTTTGACGCAAAAGTAACAGTGTTTCTCTGTACCGTGTGCCGTTCCTGGGGATCGCCGCCATGACTTGCCAATCTCGGCAAAACACTACCGCCGTCGTTATGTAGGCCATCTTCTTCGTCACGTGCTCACAGATTTCATTCTTGGCGTCTTGTGGTAGAACGCATGGCGATTTACACCTTCTGCTTCCCTTCTGCCTCAAAAGCCAGACCCAGTCACCGAAGTGAAATTTTTCAACTCGTTTTCCGCTTTGTTCTATCTGTCCTGCAGTCGCCTTCATGTACGAACCTGGTTTATTTTTCCTTAGTGTTTAATCGTTGGCGCGTCTGTCACAATCAGGGCCTGTTACTGCGGCCAAGTATGCTCGTAATGCCAAGCCCGAAGCGGACTGCCATCTGCCTTTCTATGGATAACTTTCGAGAATAGCAATAACAGCAATGGCGCCATGAGCAACAATTCGCAATTCTTTATAAGTACGATCTTCTACTAGAACGGTTACTATAGCCCGAGAAAGCTACACGTTGATGCCAAATTTATGTCGCATCGAAACGTTAGAAGATATCAGCAGTTTTTTTCTGGATTTAATATCCTCTGTGTTGGTTCTAACTGGTTGCTCTTGTAGTAGACAAACATATGCGGAGTGTCACAGAAATCTGTAGCAGGTGGGTCATTAAAATACATTGCCATATGCCTATAACCAGAGGCTGCGCAATGGCTAAAAAAAGACAGTCCCATACCAACTAATATTCCGATCAATTTGTGCAGTCATTTCTCAGTCCGCGCCAGTGAAGAGCTTAAATTCATTAAGTAGCGCCCGTTCATCTGGTCGTGGCGCCCGAATTTCTCAACCGTCGACTGGGCTGCCACACAACAAACGAAATTGCAAAACAAACAAAGAATAGAACTAGCAGACGAACCGCAGCTTATTTTTCTTCTACAGTACCGTATGACTCAACATCTCCTGCTGAAGTGTCCCTTGATACACAGCGCCAACTACACGACATATAAGCTGCTTATAGCAGACGACAACCAAAACAGAGCTACTAAACAGTGCCATGTTGCGTTCTAGACAGAACACTTAATAGCACAAAGAGAAACGGTGTAAATAAAGAGAACTCAGGCTCGATGAAGAACGAGAAAATCGGCGAAAAGCAGCAGTATCTCACGACTCATAGGGTTTGCTGGTGAGTATCATTATTGACCGATTGTCACAGCCCCACAATGACGAACGTGCAAGCGACAGCCTGAGCGACCATTTCTTCAAATCCAGCAAAGGCAGAAATCCAGCTATTCGAAGTGGGCTGATACCCACCATTTGTTGAATAATAAAAATACTAATATAGTATATAATAACAGTAGTAGAGGCACCGGTCTGTACCTATCTATTTATTGTTTTTATGGGCAGAATGGCCGCTTTAGTACCCATCGCCTTTTCTCAGTCAGCGAAACGAACACAGAATGTGAGCTCTGTGTAGTGGATAGAGCGGTAACGAAGAGGATATGAAAGTTAACGTGCTAGGCCAATTTGATGGCTCTTCTGGTCGAATTGTTTTCGTTTTGATTGGCTTGCGCCGTAAGGTGTAAATACATTTGAATTTTTATTGTTTCTATTCCAAACTGTTACAATTAAATAGTACCAGCATTCATTCACTCCAATACGCTAGTAAACTTTCTAACAGACCGGAATTTATTATAATTATTAGCTTCAAGTTAGTTCGATGCCCATGAAATGAGACATGGTTTAGTGAAACAAAATTGCAAGCAATCAAATAATAAAGCTGAGGTGAGCGGCGACTGCGCGATGTATTTGGACAATGATGACGCCGCTGTGGGTCAGTATAGTCCGATGATAGTGTGAACTTTTATTGCTTGGCTGTTGATCTATTATATGTGCCGGCATTCTTCGGCATATATGTTCGGCATAATCTTTCGCAAAATTCAAACTAGGAGTTTTTGTCTTACATAATCGAAGATAGGAAAGCAAAGAGGAGATAGCAGATTCAAAATGGCGATATGACTTGCCGGCAGCTGACCTGATGACAATGGGAGCGAAAAGTTAATCTTCGTGATCTCGGACCATGTCGGCCAGAGTAAGGTATTATGAAGATTTACAAAACAGAAATCGATCTAATAAAAGCTGCAGATATCTAGTATTACGTAAAATCGAAAGCTCCCAACTTAAAAATAAGCAAAACTCTTCTTGTATAGTTAACAATAATTGTAACATCGACAATTAAACTAGTTACATATTAACTTGTTCTTACGTACGTTACATGACATGCAAAAGTTTTCCCTTGGTTGATTGAGACTCAACTACGCGCGTCCGAAGCGCAGTTGTTAATCGAGGTAAATAGCCCAAGATACGCGCCAAGCGGCGAATAATGTTAGCTACACTCCCCGATCGCTGTAACGACTATAGGTATTTCAACAGCAAGAGAAAGCTGAAACAACCGCCTTCTTTTGCTCTTGTTGCGAACTGGCCATGGTTATCGTGTTGGCCGCGTTCCGGAGCCCAACGGTCTGACCCGATGGCTCAGTTGAGTGTTGTTGGGCTCTGACTGCGCGGGCGCACGCCCAAAAATACGACCCACCAACCAAGCAGCGGCCAAACAACAGTTATCGGCATTATCGTCCACAGCAACAACGGCAAATAGAACATTTCTTCGAGACGCCACCGTCGTAACAACAACACAGTTCTACTGTCATGAGCATACCGCCATGGCGGGTGCCGCTGCTGCTGTTATCATAGAAGGGACAGTGCATCATTACACAACAGCTACATGAATGCGGCGCAGCAGTACATCGACAACGGCCAGCCGCATTTATATACCTAGTGGCCAGCCAAAGGGATCAGCCGTTGGCTGACGAGAAGTCTCAAAGCGGCCGTGGTGCTTCTATTGCCGCTAACGACGGCGGTACTAATGGTGAATGGCCACCGCTGCTGCTTCTAGCGCGAGCAGCAGTTCCAAGAAAGGCGACAAAATCGTGCAGAAAGTTACGCAACGAAATCGTGCCGTGCTGGACGTTGCAATAGATGTAGCGAAATGCTCATCGCAAAAGACAGACGGAACCATTACCTGGCTGCATTTCGTCCATGTTATATATTATGTAGCTCATACAAAACTATTATAGCATTCGTCCGCTGTAGCCGGCGTATTCAAGAACAGTGGCAGCTACAGTATCAATAACACACACTTAATATATCCAAACATGTATATTCAATAGGATTGTAGGGCTGTCTTGGTTTTACATGTGGTTTCTACTGACAACCGTGCGCGAAAAGTCTGTAGAAATGGTCTACAATGTACAGAATGATTTGACACGATTCTTCCGTGTATGTCTTATGTCCAAATAAGTTTTATAAATATACAGCTATGTAGACTTGGTATTATTGCTGGCGTAGCTATTTACTCAATAGGCAAAGATTAAAGTTTGACAACAAATAGATAGACGTCGACAATTTTGTTATTATTGTAACGTCACACGGAGTTCACGGAACATTCCTCGAAGGACTATGCAGATAGTAGTCAAACAGTTGTTCGATGGTGATGATATATTATAAAATCTTTGGCGGACGACGTAATCCGTGTAGTTGAAATGGTCTACCACAGAAATGTTGATGTTATTTGAATAATCGGTTTCATTCAAATTTAGCCTTCTACATTCACTATGATAAATATTATTCTCTCCTGGTTGATCTTACGCTTGTGACCCGTAGCGTTTATAGACTTAATTGAAGGTTATCAATTTCACGATGGTTACAACCAACAAATGATGCCGTGTTACGAAATACCGTAGAGACCAGACATACACTGCAGTTACCACCAAAAACTTGGCTGCATATATATATATATATCTTGTGGATTTTATAGAAATATTTTAGAAAGCCTAATTGTCGACACTGGTTATCAGCCCTAAAAAATGGTCAAGGTTTTTTAGCAAACCGGAAATCTCAGGTTAACATTTCGACGCGCGCCTGAGTTGCCTGTTCTGTTATCCATAGCAATTAAATAACACCAGGAGGACTATCGAACCGATCATAGCGAATGCTACTAAACACTATTCTTGCTATATCAATGATAAATTGTTGATCGCCGATAAATCATCTAACCTCCATAGTATAGCATTCAATGCTTTCCAGGTCTCTTTACTCTTAGCACTGGTTGACACGCGTGCATAGTTCTAGCTGATAGAAACTGATGCGTTGATTTCATCGTTTTTGTCGCTTTTTCCTTAATCATAATGCTTTGTAACAGGCCAAGCCGAGTTGACCGTTCCACTTATCCTTCACGCTTCCCAGCCATCATATTATTGAACACTCAATACGAATAATGTTTTACCAATGACGAATACTAAGCCAAATAAACAAGTAAAGGTTTGTAATGAAAAGCCGTCTGTCCGGTCAACCTACGGATTCTACGGTGCATCAAATAGGAAAAACAAACAA